TGCAGTAACTGTTGTTGGGCCCTTGGCCAGGAAATTGTGACTCGTAGGCGGGGGGAGGAGCTAGGGATAAAGTTCACCATCGCCAAAGAAACTCTATTCCAAATGGATTTGTGTGGGGCAACAGTGATATCCAATGACAAGTTAAATTAGACACAGAAGAGTTTTCTCCAACACTGTCTCAGAAGATACGTGTTGTTAGAGGGACTTGATTCAGACCAAAACAGTCTTTTTGAAGTTAGGTTCAAGTTACACAAAAATAAATTGTACTAGGGACTTGAAGAAGAATTTTGTTATGTGACTTCAAGAACTAATTGACTCATAGTTTCACACATTGCAGAACGGCAACCAGTGACAGATGAGGTAATGCTGCTCTGAATTATGAGTTAAATCTCAAAACCACTAAGAGTTTGCTGTTTACAAAATTCCAAATTTAGTAAATTGCATGTTCACGTTCCTTAACCATGAGGATATTAGATCTCTGTTCTTAAAGCAATTAGTCTTATTTCTTATGGTTAATATCTATATTTACTTGGATAGAATTTCTTTAAGTTTTATGCCTTATTGTAGTGGAATATGATGATAAAAGCTGTTATTTGTGTTTCTCTTGAAATCTGTGCCTGGTTTTATAGTGCTCCTATGTGTTCTTTCCTAAAGATCATTTCTCTTGTTAATGCTCAAATCTGTATCTTGCAAATGCCTTACTCTGTAGGAATTTCTGCCTGATAATTGCATTGTAAGGTTGGATGCTTAGGTCAGTCACGCTTTCTAGAATGGAGAGTTTGTGTTTTATTTAAAGCAAGCTTTGGAAAGTTAATTTCACAACTGTATTCACATTGTTGAAGTGGAGCTCTACAGTGGAGTGTGTTCCACTGGTTAATAATTTAGAAAAGTGACACAAGTAAATTGGCATTGGCAAAGATAGAGTCAAGGTCCTGGGACCAATAGAAATTTTTGAGTTCTCTAAGCAGGTATTATCTTTTTGTTATAAATATATGGTGGGACAGTGACCCAGTCTTTTAACTGATACAACACCTAATACTTTGTTTTGTTATAATAATAAAGAATAGTGATTAGTTTCAGGCCAAGAGATTGTTTCTCTTGAAGACTGTATCCTGGAGACATGATATTTCTGGCTGCAGGCTGCCTCTCTTCTGAAGTCAGTGCATACTTTGAGCATTTGGTTGTTTATGATCTTTGTAAATCTTAGCATATATATTATTACAGTTTTCTTTGATCCACCTGTTCCCTTTTGTCATTATAACTTTACTTAATACACTTTAGATATTTGCACATGAATTAGATTTAATTCCCTATTGCCTTTTCCTCCCGTGTTTTTATAGCATAAGTTAGGGAAAGAAGAGATGAAAATCTATGTGAAGTTTTTCTTTTGTTTCATAATAGAAATGAGAAGGGGAGACAGAAGTGATGGTTTCTTTTTTAAATTCAGGAATTGTTTCTGTGAATGAGGTTACTTATTTTGAATGAAAAAGGAAAGATAAAAGGGGTATTTGGTGGAAGATCTTCATAGGACATCTTATTTCCTAAGATTAGGCATCTAAAAAGTCTTTTCTCACTCAGGCTACTCCCTGAAGAACAGCTTTGGGAATATGTCACATAGTGGTACCAGCCTTGTACCAGGCTTTCAACAAATGTGCTGATTGAATAAAGTGACAAGTTAATCAAAGAGGAAAGAGTGCAATTTGATGGATATTTAGCTGTGATTATTTTGGCAAAACAATAGATTTTCATATTCCCAATATATGTGATTCCAAGAGTTTGTATGGATAATCCTTAAGGGGCATTATGATCTTCGTATCCTTAAAAAAATGTGATGAGGAGTACAGGCTTAATTTTTCTTCTGACCAAGAAAGAAACTGTGGTAAGCTATTTTGCTGGGTCTGTTGGTAGTTTCTTTCTACGTTTAGCACTGATTGAATGATATTAGCAAAGTCTGGGTTTTTTCCCTGTGATTTTAGCTCTGTCTGAAACCGGCTCACATCATTCTTCTATCAGAAACAAAGCTGTTTCTTTTATTATGTGGCCCAACGTATATCCCTCCTGGGTTGTATCACCAGGAAGAATAATCTTCCCAGTCCGTTCCTGCCTGAATTCCCATAGAATATTTTAGGCATGTCAGCTGTTTGGGCTCTGATCAAGGATTTGATGCAGTTGGCCTCTGGCCTGAACGGAGAGTGTGTTTGAAAAGCTTAAGCTTCAGTGGCAACATTTGGTTTCCAGAGTTAGAATCATTACTTTGTGTCTTCTCCCTCTTGTGCTGCCTTCAGAAGGATTTATGTAACTGGGAAAAGGTGATGATAAAGTAGATGCTTTTATTAGTAAAAGCAGGGTGACATTTGATGAAGTGGTGGAGGGGTCTTGGTGATATATTTGTGGTTATGGGGGTGTTTAAAAAATTTGGATGGGTGTCATTTATCTTGTAGTTCCTTGTATCTTTCAGCTACCCACTAGTCTTCTATCCCCCTCCTATCCATAAGAAAGGACCTATATTAAGGCAACTTAAAATAGGAAGCCAGAGCACCAAACAGGTCTAATTAAGGGAAAAGAAGCCCCAAGAAAAGGGAAAAGAAAAATATGTATCTGCAGAGGAAGCCAAAAATGCAAAGGACTAGTTGTAGATATACATCATGTGCAAAGAACATTTTTACAATAATTTAGGGTAAGAGATGAATTATTAATAGGCCTGATAGGTACTTTTTATATAAAACATGGTTCACCATTGGTCAGTGGCAAAACTAATATACAGCACTCAGTATTACCTAGATTCTAAACAATGACTTTCATATACAACTCATCTGTACTTAGTAGATAAAGTAGTTAAAGCATAATTGATGTACATAATCCCATTAGAGAAATAGAGTGTTAATCTACAGTGTTACAGAGATAAGGAGCTAAATACCAATACTGGCATTAATTCTCAGGATTTAGTTCTCAGGAACTAAGGGTTTTATAGAGCTGCATTTAGAATTCATATATACGTTCTGAGATGAGAGGAAAAGTTCTCTGTTAAAATTTAAAATAGTAATATATGAGTTGCTGAAGAGTAAAAAAAAAAATCACGGGGTACATGGGTGGCTCAGTTTGTTAGGTGTATATGACTCTTGGTTTCGGCTCAGGTCATGATCTCACAGTTTCGTGAGTTTGAGCCCTGCATCGGGCTCTGTGCTGGCAGTATGGAGTCTGCTTGGGATTCTCTCTCTCTCCCTCTCTTTCTGTCCCTCTCCCACTCACACTGCCTCTGTCTCTCTCAAAATAAATAAACTTAAAAAAATTTTTTTTAATTTAAAATATCACTGCCTAAATCATTGGTTCCCAAACTCTTCAGTATCCCATCAGTTAAAATGTAGAACATTCATCCCTTCCTGTACTCTTGTCCTTACTTATATATAGTAGAAAACATATGTAAATTCAACATTTTTAAGTGATGAAGTATCAGTAGAAGATCTAGTATCTTCTTTTTGTGCCCAGTGGAGTCTTTTGTATCCCCTGGTACAGTCTCTCCTCTTGGGAGATTATTGACCTATACGTCATTAATAGGGGAGCCCAGACCAGGCATCTTTATTTTTATCAATTTTTCTAGGTGATTTGTAGCATTCTTATTTCTCACAGTTACTTATAAAATGAAGGCAAAGAAAAGGTTTGATAATAAGAGGCTATCAAGCTGGGGATCAGATGGAAAGGATTTTTTTATTTTCAGAAATGATTAGAACTTACCCCAGAATATCATCATGGTGATTGATGATTTACCATGCTTTTATAGTTTTTTCCCTGTGTCTTCAAAAATGATTTCTGAAATTTGAAACTGATTATTTCATTTCTTCAAAATCTGTAATTTGTCCCTGTCTGCCCAATAAAGTCCATACTTTAACGTGGCATACAGAATCTTCGTGATTTTGACTCCTAACCTTTTAGCTTTTTTTTTTTTTTTTAATATTTATTTAGTTATTTTGAGGTAGAGAGCAAGAGCGGGGGAAGGGCAAAGGGAGAGGGAGAATCCCAAGCTGGTTTCACAGGGTCAGCCTAGAGCCCAATGCGTGGCTCAATCTCATCAACCACGAGATCTTGACCTGAGCCTAAATCAAGAATCTGATGCTTAACCTGCTGAGCCACCCAGATACCTCTAGTTTCATAGCTTTTATTGCCCTTTCCGTCCTACCCCTGACCTTCTGGAAAACCTCCTTTTGCAAAAACAAACGGAAAAGCAAAACCAAAGCAAACTCCCTCAACTCCAGCCACTGTAAATGTTTTTATAGTTCACTATAAACCTTGTCCTGGCCTGATTAATCTGCCTGGATTGCCTTTCTTGCTTTGTCCAAATGGAAAACTTCTACTGATTGCTTATGATTCAGCTCAGGCATCTCTTCTGGTCCCCAAAGAACTGGTGCTGTCTCTTCTGTCTTACTGTATAGCAATTATTGAATTGCTAAAATTATTTGTGTATAAGTCTTTCTCCTGCTAGGCTGAATTTCCTCAAGGATAGAGATTGCAAATTAAAATAGAGGTTCCATGAGGGCAGGTACTCTTTTGTTCACTGTGTATCATGTACCTTGTTAGGGATAAAGTAGGCATTCAATATTGGAATGAATCTATATATGTTTATATCTTTAGTATCTGGCACATGGTAGGCTTTAAATGAGCCTCTGCTTATTAAATAAATTACAAATGAATGAGTGAATGTATTATAAAATCTCAGGCATAAACTTATCTTGGTGGGTCAGACTTAGAAAAGGAGAAATCTCTGAAATCTTCACGTGGCATTGTTAACACCAAGACACAATAAGAAAATACATGTTTTTCCATATACTACCTGATTTCACTTATGGTATAAGAAAGGCTTGAATAATTTTTTTTATGAATCTAAGTATTGGTGTTTAAGTGGAGAAAAAATCTAGAAAGATAGCCAAATAATTTCATTAAATTAGGAATTTTTTTTGGTTTGTCTCAGTATTAATTGAGATATTATTTTTTGCTCCTTGTTTTAGGGTGTTTGTGAACCGAAGTTTAGCCATGGAAAAAATAAAGTGTTTTGGTTTTGATATGGATTACACACTTGCTGGTGAGTAGCACTTTTTGATTGCTTCAGAACTTCTGGTTTAGACATAACACAGTGGGTCTACAGCAGGCAATTAATAAACACTCCTTGATTTAATCATATATTTAGCTACCAGAAGCTCTTGTTATCAAGCTCCTTCCATTGATATTTATGACTATTGAAATTACCAGTTATCCTGAGATTTAGATGGTAAAGATAAGTAGAGCTAAATTACTTTAGACACCCTGGTAAGAAATAATGCAGTGACATTATACATTAATGTGTATATTAGGGCACTTTTGGCTTTTACTTTATTGAACTATTCTTCACGGATGGAATTTTGTATCTTTTGTTCTACCTAAGGAAAACTTTTATCAGCTAAAATTTTTAATGTTATTCTTAAGACAAATGGATTGCAAATATGCTATGTAAAGACTTTTTTAAAAATTAGAGCTGTTCGCTTTGTTCATTATCAGATAGACTTTAAACACAGCACTGTGCTGTTTCTCCCTTCCTGTCTCTGATATATATTTAAAATAATCAATGTATTAGTCATTAGTTGCAAGGTATTTTCAGAACTTAGGATGTTTTTATTGAAATATTTGCATCTGGTGAAAATGTCATTTAATTTAAGAAGTAGTAGGGGTGGAGGACTGAGTTGAGTGCATATTCATATATGTATGTGCATGCATGTGTGTACTGCCACGACACCTGGAAAAGAATCTTTCAGAAATTTTCTCTAAAAAATACTGTCTTTATGCAAAAATCTTAAAATATATAAATTCACTTATCTTCAGAAACCTTTCATATAACAGTATTAGAAAACTGAGTTCCATCTCATATCTCAATTTGATGTTCAGTTTAGGCTAGTAAATGAATAATAATAAATACATGTTATAATAATATAATAATGCAAAAATGAACACATGCAGTTTATAGGTAATTGACACATAGATGTGGCCATGACATCTACCAGACAACTTATATATTAAAAATATACACTGCCTTGGTTTGAATTTTCCTTTCTTTCCTTTATACTCTTTGTTATTAATTTGATTTTCTATTGCCTTACAGTTGTTTTTACAGCATTTTTATTCTTTTATGTTTTTTAATTAGACACAGACATTTTTAGGAGCACTTGTCAGAAAGCAGGTGGAAATACTGTACTTTCTCAGGGTAGATCTTTCTGTCCAAATTGGGAGAAAATCCTACAATCTCTCCCCTTTCTAGAATTTTACCTTTCAAGGGAAAGGAATGGCGAGATATTACCTAAAACAGAGATAGAAGTTAACGGGATCAAAAGTGACAGATTTTTTTTCCCCCTTGGTTATTAAGACAGTCTCAATGTATTGAAATAGTTTTGATTTCAATTTGATTTATTGAAAACCTGTAGGTTCCAGACACGTGTTGTTACTGAGCTTTGAGATAATATAGTTATTCCCACAGAATATTGAAAAAACAAATTTTCTTGTTTAATGAAGAAGTTACTGAATCTTAGTCTCTAAACTTTAAAGATATCATATAATTTCTTCTTTTTATTTGCTTTTTTGTTTTTTTTTGTAATCCGACTTCATATTTTAATGCTTACTCTTACTGTAGACACTAATATATTTATATATAAAGATAATAGGAATTATTAACACTTATTAAGTGCTTATTATGTGCCGAGCCCTATTCTAAATGTTCTATATAGATTATCTCATTTAATACATGGATTATCTCATTCACATAATTTACTTAATATTACAAAAACCCTACGAGGCAGATACTGCTATTGTCTTCATTTTACAGATGATAAGACATTAAGGACTTTGTCCAAGGAAGTTTAGCTGTGATATACCTGAACTGAGATTCAAACCTAAGCATACATTTATATGTGAGTGCGTATACACACACACCTGTATATGTATATGATAAGTTTAAATTAATCATTTTGAATAATGACAGTTTATAGTGAGGTGTAATTTCAAAGTGCTAAGCTCCTCACCTTAAACAAACAAACCAGGAATTAAGCCCTCAAAAGGACTACTTTAAGTAGTCCCCCTTGAGAGACTGTACATCATTTCAATAGTTCAATGTTGGATGAAAAACATTGTTAGTCTTATGGTGCTGCCTTCATAAAGCACATAGGGAAACAAGTTTATTGGCTTTATACTGTCACCTGTTTTCCAGAATGGTATACATTAAATTTATCTGAGAATAACTTGTTATTTAAAAAACCTCACACCCTTGAAGTGCTAAGGACTTTTCACCAGAACAATGTGCCATGAAGTATGGAGACAAGATTAAAAGAAGTGTTTTTTGAAAGCTTTGAGTATTTTGGGATAAACATCATTGGAATAAGTGTAATAGCTTCACAGGATAAGTTCTTGGAAAGGATCTGTATTCTTTCTGAAACCTCATTTGAGACATTGTCTTCTCTGTAGTCCTGACACCTTAGTACATCATTTCCTAAGAGCAACTTATATATCATTTGCAGCTCTTGTTTGCTTGCCTGTCTCCCCATTGGCCTGTGAGTTCTTCAAGGGCAAGGGCTTTCTTTTCACGTTTATATCCGATGTATTGCCAAACTTGGCATGTAGTAGGTGCCCAGTAAAAATATATATTGAATGAACAATTTGGGTACATAAGTTTTAATATGTCAGTTTAAGAATCACTGTACTTTATTAAAATAAAAACTTAAATAAATTAAAAAACTTAAAAAAAAAGACCTAAATTTGAGATCTGAAACCATAAAAATCCTAGAAGAGAGCACAGGCAGTAATTTCTCTGACATTGGCCTTAGCAACATTTTTCTAGATAGGTCCCCTGAGGCAAGGGAAACAAAAGGAAAAATACACTATGAGGATTACGTCAAAATAAAAAGCTGCACAGCGAAGAAACAGTCAACAAAACTAAAAGGCACCTACTGGATGGGAGAAGATATTTCCAAATGACATCTGATAAAGGGTTAGTATCCAAAATATATAAAGAACTTATAAAAACTCAACATCTAAAACACAAATAATCTACACTTGATCTTAGCCAAAAGGCCGAGAAGCGATAAAAACACAAATAATCTAATTTAAAATGGGCAGAAGACATGAACAACCATTTCTCCAAAGGCATACAGATAACCAACAGACCCATGAAAAGATGCTTAACATACTCATCACCAAAGATATGGAAATCAAAACTACAGTGACATATTACCTCACACCTGTCAAAATGGCTAAAACAAAAAACACAGAAACAACAGGTGTTGGCGAGGATGTGGAGAAAAAGGATCCCCCCTGTGCACTGGTGTAATGCAAACCTGTGCAGCCAATGTGGAAAATAGTATGAAGGTTCCTCAAACTTAAAATCCAGGAATTACACTACTAGATATTTACCCAAAGAATACAAAAACACTAATTCAAAGGATACATGCACCTCTATGTTTATAGCAGCATTATTTATAATAGCCAAATTATGAAAAGCAGCCCAAGTGTCCATCGACTGATGAATGGAAAAAGAAGATGTGGTATGTGTATATGTGTGTGTACACACACACACACACACACACACACACACACACACACAATGGAATATTATTCAGTCATCATAAAGAATGAAATATTGCCATTTGCAATGACGTGGATGGAGCTAGAGCATATAATGCTAAGTGAAATAAGTCAGAGAAAGACAAATACCATAGGATTTCACTCATGTGGAATTTAAGAAACAAATGAGCAAAGGAAAAAAGACAAACCAAGAAACAGACTTTTACCTTTAGAGAACAAACTGATGGTTGCCAGAGGAGAGGAGGATAAAGGAAGGGACGGGTAAAATAGGGGATGGAGATTAGGGACTGCACTTGTTATGATGAGCACTGGGTGACTAAAATAAAAAGTTAAAATTAATTAATTAAAAACTAAAAAAAAAAAAATCATAGTATTTGTTTACCCAGTATAAAAATATGCACTATTCAAGTGGAATACTTTTTTTTTCTTTTTCGAAGATTTTATTACAGGTCTTTACAGGGCAAAATCCAAACTCCAGGTTCAGCTGCCCAGGAGAGGAGACCCTGTTATGTTGTGGGTGCCGGCTGCAGCACAGCAGGCAGCTCTGGCTTCCCACCCTTCTGTTCCGAGATGGGGGTGGTGGGATGGATCTCATCTTTGGGTTCCACAGTGCTCACATGATCTGGCAGGGGCTTCTTAGGGCCAGTCTTACCACTTGGGTCCCAGGGAAGCATGATCTTCACTTTGATGCCCAGCACACCTTGTCTAAGCAGCACAGGGCACACACCAGTGTCAAAGTAGTAGTTGACAGGGTCCCCACTGTGAATCATCAGGCCATCCACAAACTTCATGGATTAGCCCACTGTCCTTGGAGCTTCCCAGACACCATGACCTCACAGCCTTTGGTTCCACTCACCATGATGAATCGCAGCACACCATAGCAGTCCCTCCACACAAGGAGGCCTCCTAGGAGTTTGTAATACAGAGACTGCCTGGGCAATAGCACATAGACCTCTTGCGGCCACTTTTTCAGCATAATGCTCTACATTGCCTTCAGGGAAACCAAATCTTTTCTGAACCACAGCGGCCGATTCTCGGATCCACCAGCCCTTCTCACCCAGAACATTCTGTGTCCTGGTTGCCAGGATAATGATTTTTTTGTCCTGGTTGATGTAACTTGGACCTCAACCCCAGAGTAGCCATCTTCAGCCAGCTCCCAAGTGAGAAACTCATTCAGTTCAGCTTTGAAGATGCCATCAGCAATAGACTTCCTCTTCTTGGAAATTTGCACCATCTTGCTGCTGCGCACTGCTGAAAGGAAAGACCAAGTGGAATACTTTTAAATATGAACTTATGTTTTTAATTTTAAAATAATAGTAAGTTACATATGGTAAAACACATGCATTTTAGGTATATATATTTAGTTCGACAAAATGTATACATGTGTAACTACCACCACAATTAGGATAAAGGATATTTCCATCACTCCAAAAAGTTCCCTCATTGCCTCTTTGAAGTCAATTCTGCCTTCTACCCTGCCAT